GATTGCAGCAGGAAGATGAGAAACCTTGGCAAATACATGTGGCCCTCTGCATTGTAAACTAAACATATGTATCATGCAAAATAAAACACGCAAAACTACTCAACACATTCTAAATAAGATAGCTCCTACTGAAGCAATATCAGCTTGAAATTAAATCAGAACTATAACCAGTCAGCTGTCACCTATAGCCACTTTGAAACCTTTTCATTAAATGTGGAGAAGTTAGGGGTAAACCATAAAACACATAACCAGGGATTCTAGAAAGGAGAGGTGAAATTGATTCTTAACTAGCAGCATAGTAAAAGATAGCATGTTTCAATACGTGTTAATATCATAAACAAAGAAGGGCAAAGGTGAAAAATGATAATAGCAATTAATGTATTTTGTAGATTTTTAAGAGGGTCAAAAATTAATACTGGAGCATTAATACCATGCATTTTAAACATAAGATTAAATGGTATTTCAGACATTATTAATGAAAGCAAAGGCAATTTAAACTAATACGGATACTATAGACTTAAAAAATAATTTAGTTGCATTTACCTTGTACTAAGACTTGCTGTTTTTATTCCTGGAGGTGACTCCAATCCTTCCCCTGGCTTTGATGATTTCTCTCTGTTCATTTGCTGCAGTATTGAGTTCAATTCACTAATGACATTAGCCTTTGGGCCTGAGAGAACTGGGCTTTTAACCTCCGTTACATCACCCCATAGCTTAGAGGTCCTTTGCTGTACAACTTTAGCCATACCGGGCTGTGCGCTGATTGGAGGTGGGGGTGGGGCAGGTGGAGGAATAACAAAACTATCTACAGTTTCTTCAATTAGCGCATCCTTGTAAAGTGCATTGCTTTTGTTGATTATGGGCTTCATTTTTGGCTTAGGAGGTACTGGGGGTTTGTCCACCAGAAATGTTTGCCCATCTGCATAGACTGTACAAGTATCCAAGTTCTCACCACCTTCAGAGGATAAGGTGGAGATGCTGGACACAGTTGAGATAGTGCTGGTTGTCTCTAGGTGATGGTCACTACTGCTTCGACTGTCCACCTCTTCAATCCCAGAGTCAGTGACATTATCAAAATTTTCAGGCGGTGGTAAAAATGAGGCAGGCAAACAGTTTGAAAGACCCACTGGTTTCTTACTGTCTATTGAATTTGAGGGTTGAGTAGGATTGAATGAAGCAGGCGGAGTTCCATTTTTTCTGTGTTTGAGCAAGTCTGTTAGTGCAGAGCCTGGGACAGAATGGTCATCAGGGATATCAAAACTGTTAGCAAATTCTAAAGGCGGTGGTAATGGCTCAGTAAAGATGAAATCTTCATCAAGATCAACAGATGCTAAAGGGGGTGGAGGGATACGGAACGGTAAAATGATTGGATCATCAACGGAGCCAACTGCTACAATAGTTTTGCAGGGAGATGCAGGTAGCTCAGGCATGTCAGCTTCATCTAGTCCACTTTCTGCTGTTTCTGTACTTTCCTGCGCCTCTGGTGGAGGCTTTTCAGTATCCACATCTATCTCGGCACTTTCCTCTTCCTTTTCATCAGGGGTATCATTGGACTGCGCTGTATCTACCGTATGAACCATGAGCAAACCAGCTGACTTCTGCTGTGAGGTATCCACAATATTTATCAGCATGTTCTTCTTTTCTTCAGGCCTCCTCTCTTTCCCCGTATCTGTCTCATATTTGTTCTCCGTCTCCTGCCGCCTTAGTGGACCACGCGTATTTTGCCTAGCAATTGTAGCTGTCACTGGAAATGTAGTTTCGATGTTGGACCTCATCTTTGTATCTATATAAAGGGGTTTATTAAGGTCTGCTTTGCCAGATTCTCCTTTCCCTGGAATTTGCTGGGTTTGTTCCTTCATGGCTCTATCTCTGGCAGAAAGGGCAAGGGCTAAAGGTGAATTTGGATCCAGTAATTTCCCTGTGAGTGGATGAACATAGTTATCCAAACTGGACATACCAGCATTCTGAGTTGCCAACACATTATTTTCTGAACCCATTGATGTTGGGGTTGAAGGGTTTGGTGTCCTTGCATCACTTTGATTACTTGATTCACTGCTATTAAAAATATTTTCAGGCTCTCTAGGTGCTGGGATAGGAGATGGTGATACAAGTTGCCTAAAGTTGTCTTCATTACCAAACATTCCCTCATCACTAAACTTAGACTGTCTCAAACGTGGCATTGGAGGCGATAGCCCAACATCCTCATCTCCCAAATCTGTGGAAAGGAAAGCTGGAGAGTTACGCCTGGCTTCTAATCTTTTCTCCCTATCCCTCACTGCCCCTGCAATGGCTGCTGCAAATGGACTACTGACAGTCAAGTTATCTTCAGGTCTGAGCTGTCCTGGTTGCTCTGAAGACTGTGGGTCAATTTCCATGCTGCTTCCTTGACTACTTTTCCCACTACTGCTGGTAGATGGCTCTTTAACAATGATAGTTGGAATTGGAATAGAGCAGGTTTTTTCTGGACTATCCTCAACATTAGATTGTTTCACTAGCATTCCCTTCCGTCTTGCTGGCTTGGCTGGGACATACACTGCTTTGCTTGCTATTTTTCCAACTTCAGAGTATGGGTTCTCCGGCATCTGACCTCTCTTGTTTCTGAAGCTTGCCTGAGTTGAGGCATTTCTGCTATATAAGTCCTCAGAATCTAGAGAATAACGGTCCATCTCTCTCCGGTAATATATCCCTTTGTCCCTTATCACCGTTCCCATATTTTCAGATCTACCTGAAATAGCTAACTTTGCACCTGAATTCTGATTAAATGCAGGCTTAATTGTCCCATATATTCTAGACACTGGAGATTTGGGGGAGTTGTAAAGAGAAGGAGATGGAGGTGGTGGTGATGGAGGTAAAGACTGTGGAGGAGGAGGGATATCTTCAGAGGTGTCTGGCATGGATAGACTTCTGGTAAATTTTAGCATGGGAGGAGCCAAAAATTGCCGTTCTTCCTCTGTTATCCCTTTAAAAAAATCACAAGCTACAATTTTTAAATTGCTCTTGAATTTTAATTATCATCCATTGTCACCAAAGACATAGTAAACCAGGTACAGAAAATACTGTATTATATATTACTATGCATGGTTTGGTTTTAGAATATGTCTGCAACTAGATCTTCAGTTTACATTTTGGCTTGCCTCAGTGTCCCTATGCTGACCTTCCAGCATCTTCTTACACATGTGCACAGAGAATTGTGCATCCCTAAAGTAATGTTTTTTATGAACTGTGCATAAAAGGAAGTTGTCAGCCAAAAGCTGTGAAAGACTGGAAGAAGAAAGGAAAGGAAAGCTTAAAAATAAATAAATGTAGGCATGTTGGCATTTGTGAATAGGTGGCCATGCATGAAACATGATAAAACAATGTTTCTACATGGGTAAAGAGAGTGGATTGAGAGGCATTGTGAAACAACCTTCCAAACAAACATATGTACCGTATTTTTTGCTCTATAAGACTCACTTTTTCTCTCCTAAAAAGTAAGGGGAAATGTGTGTGCATCTTATGGAGCGAACGCAGGCTGCGCAGCTATCCCAGAAGCCAGAACAACAAGAGGGATCATTGCTTTCATTGTGCAGCGATCCCTCTTGTTGTTCTGGCTTCTGAGATTCAGAATATTTTTTTTCTTCTTTTCCTCCTCCAAAAACTAGGTGCGTCTTATGGTCTGGTGCGTCTTATAGAGCGAAAAATACGGTAACTTTGGAGTGAGATTGCTACCTGTTGTATGAAGTGCTAGATTCCATGCTGGAAAGCTAGAAGTGAAGCACTAACCAGGGCAGGTCACAGCATGAGGCAATGGCTTCACAAGCTACTTGTGGTACTTCCTGGTACAGACAGAGCAAAGAGATGCTCTCCTTACACAGACAGTCTCTGAAGTAATAATTAATATAGCTGGCTTGCTGGCTTGTGTTCAGGATGAAACAACAGCAGCAAAGCTATCAGCTATGGGCTGATGGCTATTCCTTGTAATAGTTGATAATATACATTTCTTTCTCTGTACTTCCCATAACTAATTTTATGTAGAGAGTTGCAAAGAATAACTTCATTATTTCTCCAGGGAACAGAATATCCCTTCAAACATAAAGGAGAAGAAAGGACAAGAAAAACATTGCCTCTCAGCTTTAACTCCTATATTGCAACCTGTTCTAATTAAAGTTTGGTGTTAAATGTATTTTTTCAGTTTCTGCTTGCCATTGCTATTACAGCAAGAATAGCAATTGAAATTGTGGGGAATAAGACCTTTGACTAAGTTTCCAATATGACTAAAACAACATCATTTTGCAGAAAAATACATTTCCATAAAGCATATGTTGACTCTGTTTAACTTCCTCATTGTACAACCAAATACTTCTACAGCAAAATGGACCAATTAATATATATTTTCCTAAAGCTTTCTGTCATTATTTTGAACAAAAATACCATCTTATCACATACACACAGATTATAAAACACAATTTTAGCAAAGAAGAATGATTTCATTTAAAACTAACCTCTGAGTAACTTTTACCAATATAGTCTTTTAAAAAATTATTGTTCTTCTTTTTGTAGTACGAATTTGGCATTGTGATATAAACAAAAGTCAACGCATGGAAATCAGAATGCTAAAACATTTTCAAATGTGCAAAAGTAGATGCTTTTGATTCAATAAACATAAAATTTAAATGTGTATTAAATTTGGTTTGGATTTTACCATACTTTATAGAGATTGTCTGCTGTTGGTTACTTCGTTACTTATTAATTTTGTAATTTATAAATGCATTTTGTATGCTAAGAAATTCTGATATTAAGCAGTAAATAAATATTTGAAATAAACAAGCTAAAAAGCAATGAATTACTTAAGAAATTGTATATTTCAAAGAGCACAAATTCCAGTTGTAATATTCAGTCAATGTTACTGACACACATTGGCCTCATTGGCGTCACAATGGGGTGTGTGTGTGCTCCCAGTGCCACATCTCTGGGGGTGAGAAGGTGGTGCAAGCAGATATCACGCCGTCGTAGCCGCGAATGGAGGATCCTCTACATGCAGCTGCAGCTGCGAGCAGAGGGTTCCAGCACCGCGCCACCAGCAAACCGCTATGTAGCGCACTTGTGCACATGTGCGCTACGTAGCAGTTTGCCAGCGGCATGGTGCCAGGATCCTCTGCTCGTGGCTGCAACTGCATGTAGAGGATCCTCCACCTGCAGCTGTAGCCGCGAGGAGAATCCCGGTTCTGCGCCGCCAGCAAACCACGTACGTAGTGATGCCACACATGTGCGCTATGTAGCAGTTTGCCGGCCGTGCAGTGCTGGGATCCTCTGCTCGTGGCTGCAGCCGCATGTAGAGGATCCTCCGTTTGTGGCTGCAGCCGCGAGCAGAGGATCCCGGCACCACGCCGCCGGCAAACCACTATGTAGTCCACCTGTGTGGCGCCGCTACGTACGCCGCATGCGTCGTACGTAGCTACGCTGCACATGTGTGCTACGTAGCGACGCCTCACCCCCAGGTGCATGTCATGTTTGCCGCTCTAGGTGCCCGAGCGGCTTCCTCCGCCACTGACTGGCCTGGTTCACATGTCACATTATATCTTAGTTACAACTAGCTATGGTTTAATGTGAATGTGCTGCTGCATGCTTCTAAAATGCAGAGGTGCTTTGCTCTTCTGCTGCTCATGCTGTGCTTCCACGAAACAAGCCATGGTCTGGTATGTCATGTTGTCTAAACCTGGACTCATAATTTGTTTTCCCCCAAGTGGTAAGCCAATAACAAACCTTGGCTTCTGCTCATGGTTTGTTTGGATAAAAATAAACCATGAACTTGAGAAGCAAAACCACATCTTGTTTCATGGCAATGTGGCAGCAGCAGGAGCAGTGGGAGAGGAAAAAAATACCTGCCATTTTTCAAACAGGCATTTGCATGCTACTCTCTCACATTAAAGTACAGCTTATTTTATGGTTCAATATGACATGTGAACAGGCCAGTTTGTTCTCACGCAATGGCTATTTGATCAAGACTCAAAATCAACCCATGAACAAATGCATTTGAAGCAAACACTGTAAGCAATTGTTGAAAATAATGAAACGTCGCTTGTAGAAAGTTTCATTTTACCTATTGATTTTTGTCTTCTCACGGTACCTCGTGGTACACCCAGAAACGGGCCTTGGGAACTCCCAGGGACTGTTGGTGGCATCACAGCAATCCCTTGTCTCTCATACATAGACTACAAAAAACAAAAAGAAAAAATAATTGTACCTGAAGCCATAATTTAATGTTCTGTTTCATTCTCACATATAAGCCTGGTTTACACAATACCTTGGGCAGTATGGTTCTATGTCTTCATTGTCACTTTCATGCCATTCTATCATCTATCTATATGTCTGTCTGTCTGTCTGTCTGTCTGTATATCTCTATCTTTATCTCTATTTCTATCTCTATTCCTGACCATGTCAGGAGGGACAGATTGCATGCTGGTGATTGGGGCAGATGTGAATAGTGTAGTTAGTAATGATGTAATTTGGCCTAGGCAGATGAATTATATGTTACTGGTGCAGAACGGTAACATTTACAGCAGGTAGTGGCAAAATACATGCTACAATTCAAAGAAACATGTCAACTTGTCAACTTGGCCATAGCTTTGATATTCACTTCAAATAGTAAGTGACAATTTGGGGAAAAATACATTATACTCTACACAATTTGGCTATTATTTTGAGACATCCAAAATATTTGTTTCATTGGATATTTGGGAAATTGGGCAGATTATTTCTATATTACACAGGAAAACGGCAACACAAAAAGGAAGGTTTGATAAACTAGTGAACTATGAGCTTTTGCTATGGAAGGCTTTATATTTGTACTCAACTGGCAAAAGAGAAAGCCATTTCTATGGATCACAAGTTTATTTCTTACAACTGATCTTCTTCCAGAGCTGTCCATACCTGTCTGCCACATATGATGGCTCACAAAACCTTTCATAGTGGCATCAGGTGTTGCAAAGGCCCTCCCTCAGTCACTTGCAGTAGCAAAGTTAAACAAAGGTAGGGGAAGGATCTATTCAGAACCGGACAACTGGGATGAAGGAAAACCTGGCTAATGGTACCAAATGGATTTGTGGACTACAGTATGTTTAAGAACAGACACCCCCTTTGAAGAAAAGCACTTATAGGAAAGGATTGTTATCTTCATCAAATGGTGGTATGTGCTAATGTACACACAGGTGATCAGAATTTTGCAAAGTAAGAACTGAGAGTAGAAGCCATTAATGCAGAGCAGCTAAGGCACCATTCAAAACCCTGACTTGTGTCTGAGATCAATTATTAGATCAATTATCCTGCAAACCTCTCCTAAACATCTCAAGGTAGGAAAAGGAATATAAACAAGTAAGCCATAACATGCTATCCAGAAATCAACAGGTCTACAGCCACAATGTGCTAGTATTCCGCTCTGGTATGAACAATCTCTCCCCCCCAGGAAGAAACAGAAGTATATTGTTAACTCCCCATGATGCCTTGATGTACATGATGCCTTGATATACTTGATATACATGGTTCCTTAAGGAAAAGGTATGGGAATTGAGGTCATAGCCACAGAGGACTGGCCAGGTGGTACAAACTGTTGGACAAGAGTATAGCACAAGACCGCAGAATCTGTCCCTCCAAGGGTCTCTTCTTATACTAGGCCTGCATGACAGTTTCTTGTCTGCACCTTGGTATGTGCAACTTGTGTTGACATCAAGCAAAGAGTCAGAGCTCCCGGTACTAAGGAAGTTTAGCAGTGCACCCAAGAATAAGCAGGAAAAGGAAACACTCTACAATACAATCACATTTATTCAGAAACCACAGAACAGAACTAGAAACTTGTTTTTCTTGTTCTTTTACAGGGAGTAATAAAGAGATAACAACCTAAGGTATACTGTGAAAGGATAACGTCTTCTATTAGAAGACCTCACTAGTCTTCTCAGGTGACCTCAACAGTCCACAACACATTGACCTCAATCTTCTTTCCCTTCCTCCCCCACAACAAACACTGTGAGGTGAGTGAGGCTGAGAGATTTCACTAGTCCAAGGTCACACAGCAGCTGCATGTGGAGGAGCGGTGACGAGAACCTGGTTCACCAGATTACGAGTCCACTGATCTTAACCACTACACCATACTGTTTTTTATACAGTCATACCTCGGGTTACAGACGCTTTGGGTTGCGCGATTTCAGGTTGTACACCGCGCCGAACCCAGAAGTACCGGAATGGGTTACTTCCGGGTTTCGGTGCTTGCAAATGCCCATAAGTGCTAAATCGTGCTTTGCGCATGCACAGAAGCGCTGAATCGCGACCTGTGCATGCGCATACATGGTGCTGCGGGTTGCGAACGTGCTTCCTGCACGGATCACATTCGCAACCTGAGTGTCTGCTGTATGTGATTGGGTCTTATGTTTTGGGCTGTACTGGTGTACCTTTGGTTATGAACTTAATTTGTTCCAGAGGTCTGTTCTTAACCCAAAACCGTTCTTATCCTGAGGTGCACTTTCACTAATGGGGCCTCCCGCTGCTGCCGCGTGACTTCCACTCGCATCCCGGGGCAAGGTTTGCTACCAGGAGACCTACTTCCGGGTTACCGGAGCTCATTACCCAAAGTGTTCGTAAGGAGGACGGTACGTAACCCAAGGTTCCACTGTATTGTTATTTGGAGTGAGACAAAACACGAGCCAGGGTCACATACAATACTACAGATACCTTCAGAAAAGTGCTGAATGCAGCACACCAAGAGCTAACTAGCAGTTAACAGGCAGGCAATTTGTAAGACCAAAGTTATGTGCAAGTATGTGAGAAAACTATGCACACAGCTAGAGATTTCTTTTGTTTCCACTGCAGTGGCTCACACTCCTGAATTTGCAAGCACTTTTCAATTTAAAATGCAACCTGTCTCCTCATCTCTCTCTCTCTCTCTCTCTCTCTCTCTCTCTCTCACACACACACACACACACCAAGCTTTACTCAAAAATTCACATTTTTTTTCATTTTAATGATAGATTTGGGACTGTCCTCCAGTCCAGAACCTAGACTCAATTCTTTTCTTTAAAAACAAAACGCACAAATAAAAGCAGCACAAGAAGAATACAGCACATCTGAAGAAAGCCCGTCTCCACTGCCCAACTCCCCCCCAAGAGTAAAAAATGCTTCATAGAGGAAGTAGATGCTAAACAGCTGGAATTTTACGCGAGAAGGAACAAGACCACTGAATAACATAAATAATTTTATAAGGCATAAGTAGTGCATAGAGAATAAAAGTGAAAATGATTATTTTGCAAATGAACAGTGAGAGATAAGTAGTGGGGTTCATTCCATAGCTTTACTGAAAGGTCAGCTCTATCAGACACCGCCTGTCCCTAAACTGATTCCATTCCGCCTTGTCATGATAATAACTACTATTTAAACTTTAAGAACTGGCCTCTGAGTATCCCCACCCTTCATTCCCTGGACGCTTTTCCTTCTGTGCTGTTTCTTTTTTATTGTAAGCTGACAGACAGGGACTATCTTGATTGTATGCAAGCCACTCCAGGAGCCTTTTTGGCTGAAGACTGGGGTATAACTTTTCTAAAGAAATTAAAAATTAAAAATATTTTTTTTAAACAATGGGTTGGGGAAGATCAGTTGAGGTGGACAGGTGGACAGTCTCAATTCTTCAAAAATATTCTCAAGAGATTATGCTTCTGTCCTCTGGCACTTTACTTTCTGGGAAAAGCTAATTATCTGCCTCAAGCACCTGAAAAGCACAGAATCAGAAGTTCCTGAAGTGTTACTAGGAGCCACAGGATTTAATGCCAACTTTTGCCCTGCAAACTGTGACTGAAGGAGATACAGTTCAGAAACCGTATCTTTATACAGTGAAATAAACTGCTATCCCAAAAGCTTACTGGAAAAGGGAAAACTTTAGACTAGCTAGAAGTATCAAAGCCAGAGCTGAGCAAGACAATCAGAAGTTTCATATTTCTTTGGCATGCCTTCCCTGAGGAGGAGAATATTTATTATTCCACCCAGCTGAGGTCATTATTTCCTGTATGCTGTCCATCACCAACCAGAACACACAGCAATCCAACTAACAGCAGGTCAGTTTCTCCCTTAATTCTTTCTGCCTCAGTAGGGGGGGAGGAATCAAGAGTAGCGGATGCACACAACTTGTACAAAGCAGAGCCTTCCACACTAG